GGAGCACCCAGGACACAAGACTCACTAGGAAACTTCAATGAATATCCAACACAGGCCCATCATCATGTAGCCGACGAATAAAAGGTCTCATATCTTCCAGGACCATAGCATATCCTAAACCTTCCATCGAGGCTACGGCTACTTTTTCTTATCTGTCACATGGGGGGAGGATCTTGCTCCTGCTCTGGCTCCTGCTCTTGCTTTTGCTCGTGATCGTGCTGTTTGTTGGCACTCGCGCTCGACGAAGTCAAGCCAGGATTCCAGAAGACAACAACTAGTCCAGCAGAGTTACCTTGAACTCCAACATGCTTCATAACTTCTTCAAGGACAGTTCAGTACATATCTTCTGTAAATTCTTACATCCCCCTACTTCGAAACAGGCTTCACAAGGCGGGGATGAGTTCCGGGGGATTTTCCGGAAAGTGAGTTTACCATTTGCGAAATCTTCAAGAAGCGATTGAACCCAAAAGGCCCGCAACTCAAACCTTCTTCCTTTGGGCCACATGAGATACGGTTTTGATTACTTATCTTGACAAAATAACACCCAAACTAGATATACTGCACCCCCTGCATGGCAGTATCCCCAAGGACGCATACCTACAATCACAAGAGTACCTCACATTCGCATCTCTTCGAAGTGTAGTGGCGAGACCGAAGATGGCTTGCGATGCGCCCTGGCATCGACAAAGAAACGGGCTACAATGGTGTACAACGGTCCGGGGGTTGATGGTGTAATATAGGGGCCGTAATACTTACCTATACTGTTTTGGGGGCTCCTTATTATAACCGTAGTATAATGTACCCCAAAACCCTATTCTAACAATAAAGACCTCTATCGTACTTCTATGCATTTTTGCCAATATCTCAGAGGGCAGGATTTTAGCGATTTCTTCTCCGGTCTGGACTTCCAAATTCGGGTACTATTGCTATTCCGAAGCTGTGGGTTCCAAAACCTCGCGCACAGAGTCTTGATGTATACCGGAACACCGAAGCGCAAAGCTGTGGTTGAAAGCTTCTGAAAACATTGTATAAGATCACAGGGGAATTCCGAAGCCGTAAGATAAGATGCCCTAAGTGCATCCCATGACCAGGAATCGCGGCTTTGTAGCTCAGGGCCTATTGTACTCTGCAGAGTTTAAGGTGCCCTAAGCTTAAAGCCCTCGGCCCACTAGCCCTGTAAACCCTAAAGGCGCTAGCCACGGAGAGGGCCTTCGGAAGCGCAGAGTATTCCACCCGGGACTCGATTGAGACGGGCCCATCTTCGGAGACATCCTCGGGTGTTTAAGGTATTTATGACGCTCACACTCGGACAAGCCTGGCAAGGTCTGCAGAAATACTGGTCCAACGAATCGGCATGGCTCGTATCACCGGCATGCTTTCGCTGTTAGGCAGGGCTCATGACACGACAAGGGCTTAGGGCTTAGAGTTTCGATCCCAAGCGTCTCCTTGGGCGTCGCAGGGAAATGGCAGGAAGGCTAAGACGCACAAAACAAGCACTGCAACGTAACCCTGCAGCTGAACCCAACTAAATGCACCAAGCTCCAAAAGTAGATGGACATTATGAAATGCTTCTTGATGCAATGTCAATATTGACCGAATGCAACTTGAAGCGCAATGCTTCTAATGTCATGAGCAGAATGCAATGTATTGCCGGTATATAACAAGGGCAGATGATTCCCGATTCCCGATTCCCCACCGGTCTCAACAACCGAATGGGCCAGACAAGCCTAGACACCCGGATGTCTCCCACACTGGACATTAAACTCCGTCATGCCTCCCAATACGCAAATACCAAGGAGTCACAACGCCACCTCCGAGGTTCCTAGGCCTCACAACTTCCCAAGCCTCAAATCAAAAAATCCCCCAAACCCCTAAACCAGAAATCTCGAATTTCTAATGCGCTCCATGCCTACGACCTAAGAGCGCCTTAAGGCATCCCCTAAAACCCCAAACCCCGAAATCTTGTCAGAGAAGTCTCCGGGTCCGGTTCTTGGACATTCTGCAAAGGCTGCGCAGTATCCTCAAGCACGTCGTCGTCCTGTCCCGGGCTGCAAAGTTATTGGTGGTCTTTTGGGATTTGGGAGTTCGAAAGGCTTGAGGGGGATTTAGACTGGTTCAGGTCTTGTATAGGGATTTTGGGACACTTCTTCGGTTTTTGTAATCCGAAAGAGTTTATTAGAGGGATTATAGGGATTGGTTTATGGGGTAGGCCAGGCCCCGTAGGAGACGAGCTACAGGTTGACTCGGGTCCTTGGTTTTCAGACCCCGGGATCCTATAGTCGGGTTCCCTGTATTCGGGCTATATTTAAAATGACGTGTTTTAATCCTTATTGGGTTTTACTATAAAACATAGAGTAAATGTAAAATTGTATCCCACAAGGACCGGCGTCGAGTTGCGTCTGAGTCTAGGCCAATGAGAAAACCCAACCTATGTTCAAGTTAAGCCCCTATAAGTTCCAAACCCTACAAATACGTGAAAACCTGTACAACATAAAACCGTAAGATCCCGAACCTGATAAGGAAACAAGCTCATGATTCGTGGAACCCTTTGCCAAGCCCTGAACCACCCAAAACCCTCTGAGCCTGGAAGTTCGCCTCGCACGGCGATCTCGGCGACCACGCCGTGGGCAGCGTGCGCGTTGGCAAGGTGCTGGTGGTGCGCCGTCGCTGGAATGCCTGCTATATATAGGACTTAACGGCCTATAGGGTCTATATTATATACAGGAAGGTGCTTCTCCCACCGGACCAGCCGCAGCATCACCACCACAACAACAGCAGCAGCAACCTCCACCACGACAACAACCACCACCGACCGCCACCAGCAAACCACAACCACAACCCCTCACAATGCAGCGATAACCACCATCCTGGAGACCAACCGTACACACATGAAGATCTGCCTGATGCGCTACTGCTACTGCCACGTATTACTGCCACAATCGATTCCGAGTAAGCTCTCTTATGCCGACCATTGCAGATACAGCTGCAGGCGTAGGATTCGGAAAATGATGTATTCCTGAGGCCCTGCACTATCCTATTGCGATTGCGCGGCCCGTTGTGGCGGAAGCGGCCGCTGTAAGGCCTCAAACTGCAGCGAAACTGTTCTGATTAATGCGGACGGATGTAGACGTCTTCAAACCTATGTTCATCAACGGCAGAACCCTTGGCACTAGGAATTTCTAAGGGAGACCCTGTGGGACGTTGTCATCTACTCGCTTTCCATTTTTGGTGAAGTGGGTCCCAATTAGCACCTGATTTCAATTGTTGCGGTAGTATTTGAAAGCTATCATTCAGCCAGTGCTGGGTTGCAACAGAAAAAACGAAGGCCTCTTACGCCTCCGACGCCCGCATGGGGCCTCTATAGCAACTGCTTCCATTTAGGCAGATGCCTCAAGTTGGCGAACTGAGGCCACCACGGCCGCGAAACGGGCGTCGGCTGCCGCGAGGCCGGCTGCCGTGTCCAGAGGCTCCGTATGCTGCACGCCCACGGAGTCATCTCAAGGGGCACGCAGGGTTGGGCGACTTTCGTCAGGCCCACGTTTTCGAAGGGATCTTCGTTCTCTATATATGACAATGACACGCACAACAGGGCTGTAAGGAGCCTTGCGACCATACTGAACCCCAAGATGTGTCTGTGTGTGTGCAGCTACAAAGAAGCTGGCAAGCCGACCACCCATGTGCATACTAACGTGTGGGGCTCACAGATGCAAGTCAACATCAAGCACGTACGCATATATCTGCCTCTCTACACTGCCATCACAACATAAGAACAACTTGCTACATAAGCCATACCTGTGTAATTACGTAGTAGATATGCACACGACTGCACATGTAAGTATGTATGGATGGACGGATGAGTGGAGGATTACAAGTTCATAATGGATTGCTCTCGGTTCTTCAAGACTTCGGTCGGATGCTCCCTCCATACATGCCTGCGAAAGATTGGGCCTGCATTCGTCAGCAGGCATAAAACTCTCTCAGATTGTCGGTAAAGCCTACGCTTCAGGTACTCCGGACGAGGATTTGGCACTCAGAGTGTCTATCGTGAGGTGTGTGTATATATATATACACATGTATTTAATTTGTTATTTAGCTTTTTATCTAATTATACACATAGCTTCATGCAGTGGGGGTAAGGACTTCGGACTGATTAAAGTAGCCAGGCGAAACAACCCCGGCCCTGGCTTGAATGGCCCCGTGCCTTCTCCGCCCGGCGTGGACAGAAGTGAGCCCATCCCGGACCGCAAGGAAAGCGGGTTGATGGAACAAGCTATGGACAGGAAAGCTGCTAAGGAGCCCAAGTGGCAGAGTCATGCAGAACCTTGGTTTGCGTCTGTGCGCTTGTTGGCGTCATTCAAGGTTTTGGGGAATGTCAGGTGAGGACATCCTACAGTACTACATGTCATACAGCAATTCTCCGATTGTCCAAGGAGGTCGCTTCTTGCCAGCCCAGCCTGGAACTGCTGTCAAACCTCTGTAAGGGCATGCATGACTAGAATTGAACGAGTACCGAGGCTTCCAGAGAGGTGGAAGAGCATGATAACACAAGCCCAAGCCGAAATCTTCCCCAAAAGGCCAAAGCCCGAGCAATATGCAAGACACACTCAGATCAACTCGAAGCTGTAAACGAGTAACCTACGAGAACCATCATGCCGCCTCTGCATTGCTATTGCCATCACCAGCCACAATCGTAATCATCATTACTTTTCGGGCCGGCCAAAACAGAGATGGTCAAGTAGACAAAGAATAAGAAAGAACGATCGCCAAGAGCTCCGGAGTCTGGCTTAGACTCTAGAATATTCGCAAACCAACATGGCTGGTTCGTCGGCCTGTGGTGGTGCAGAAAACCAAGATCTAGCAACGCGAAACCCTTCACATAGGAGCCTTAACAAACAGAACTATACCATAATTAGAACCAGGAGCCCCCCAAAACTCGTATTGCTGTATTGTTAAATATATTTAAGCCCCTATAGCGCCTTCCGAGAACCCCGAGCCGATGCCTGTGCCGAAAGTGCTCATGCCAGCACGTCGGTCGAGGCCTTTGGTTTGCACAGGTTTAGGGCTTAGGGACAGCACCTTCTTCCCGTTGAGCCTACATTCCTTGTCCCCTGTCATACTACTGTTCTTTGTAGTCTGTTACATGCATTACATGTGTGCCATTATCATTATCACTGAGGCTTGTACGACTACGAGGACAGCAGCTACCGCTACATTAGTGCCACTGCTGGGGGTGCTATTGTCCGACTTTCCACTGCAACCGCAAGTAACAATTGGCAAGCATATGTTCTGGAGCGGTCGGTAAGTGTAGACACTTGTCTAAACTGACTATGCACCTGCTTCTTTGCACGAACACGTACAAAAACACCGTAAACACCCGTCTCTTCATACGTGTGTAAACACAAACCAGTATGTATGTCAAATTATACTTATATGTATATAAAAACCATACACACACACATATATATATATATATACAGACATACATACGAATATACACTATGAATGTGAAAGGTCGCTTCTCTCCTGCATTTTGGGTTCCCTTGCCACTCCCAAAACAAGGCCGCTGCAAACGCGCCAGGCAAGTTGGAAAGGATGGATTGGACGATGAAGCTCAAACTTCCTCGGCTGCGGCCATGCAGGCGTTCAGTGCTATGGACCACGGGTCTATGTGAACATCAGACTATGATGGGATTGAAAAGGTTGCGCTTAGGATGTTGGGCTTTCCTCTTCGAGCCACGGCATGGCATGCTGCGGCGAGCATTGCTTGTGAAGAACCTCTGTTCAGGCATCTGGCAGCGATGATCCTACGATTTAGCCTATCTGCAGCCGTTGACGACGTGATTGTGCTTCTTGTTTGCTTTTTTTTGATTGGGGGGCTTCGGCCCAAGCGGAATTCGACATTGGACGACAGTCCTAAGAATCGGTACTTCCGAATGTCTGCGGCTTCCAACGGATAGGTGTATACCCAAAGTCGACATGAACGTACTTATCGAAAAGACAAGAAATACATCTATTACTGTTGTTCTGATTCTCATAAGGAAAATTATAAATGGCAATATTAATGAGTGTAATGTTTAGGCACGGGCTCTCTGACGATCTCGAGCAAGCTCCCCAAAAGAGAAGGCGCACGTGTGCAGCCGGAATGTGGTTTTTTGGAGTCTGTCTGAGAAGACCGGGGCTCAGCAAGATTTTTGCAAAATGAAGTACCTACAGTCTCCATTGTAGTTCCTTTTTGGGGATACCTTAGAAAATCCTTATTATATGTTTGGCTAAACAAAAAAAGGAACTACAATGGAGACTATAGGTAACTTCTCGAACTCCGAGGCTCATGAACTTCAGAGTCCGACTTAGGGTTTAGGGTTTAGGGTTTAGGGGGTCTCTTTTTCCGGCCCGCCCAGCTGACAAAGCCGCACCGTGTCTTAGGGGCTTCGGGCTCAGGGTATAGGGACCTGATCCAGTCCACTCATCTCAATTCTACGGCCATCTGGCAAGGCAAACTGTCTATAAGCCGCAGGTCACGTCTCCAACCCCAGTGAGAGCACTACTCGGCTGCCGAAATCCGCACATGTAGGCTAAACCGAAACTTGGCCCTAAACCTTACGAATCAACACCGCTCAACCCTGCACTCCCTACACCATACGTGATAAACCCCGGAACTTTACGGATCAATGAAGCCTGCACCCCAGAACACGAAAATTCAGGCAAGACTCTGCTCGACTTCGGCGGTGTAGCTTTGAGCCTCAAGAGGCGCTCACATGGTCATGGCGAACATGATGAAGATCTTGACGGCGATCAGGCTAGTAATGGTAGTTTAAATGCATTCAGGGCTGCAGCTTTTGACGCAGTTGTAATGATGACGTCACGTATTCCTTCCTAGCTTCCTGTAGAAGAGCTCCTGCTGGCAAGCTTCCTTACTGCCATGGTCCCTTACGCCCTTACGGTGTCTACTCGTGGCGCTGGTGGTGGGATATTCTGGACGGGTAACCAAAAACTGGAAGGTGGTGACCAGCCTTATGTTGCCCGCAAGACTATGACTCTTGTTTCCTCGATGTTCAATGTCCTGAAGTACCTCTGTTTACAGGCTGCAGGAAGTCTGGGCTGGACGACGCTTTGCAGAGAAATTGGTGCAGGCCGTTAATGCCACTAGAATAACGGCCTCATTGATACCCGCATGATGATGTGTTTTTGTCAGTGCTTATTCCGAATTTGGGTGCGTAGGAAGATTTAAATGGTTTCGCATATGGTTTACTAAGGGCTCATGTAGAAGCGCTTATCATAGGGTGCACAAGAGTCTCTATACCGGTTTCTATCAGGCCACACTGGCTGTGAACCCTGAAGCCCAATCCTCCTCGCTAGTCGAACTTCACAAGAAGCTGGGGGGCGGACATGGCGGTTCCTCATTCATGCATCAGGAAACCCGTATGCACGGAGAGCAACATGTTGGTAGGAGTATTCTACAACCAGTGAAAAACGTAGGAAAGCAGTGAGAATGACAATTCTAGTTACTCGTAGACAACAGTCGTGACATCGTCATCCTCGACATCATGAGCAGCGGCAGCAGCACCACTGTCGTCATCATATCCTTCTTCCGCTTCAGCATCGCCCGAATTCTCCTCGTGATAAGAATCATATGATGCCGTTTGGTTATAGATCTTCGGCATACAGTGATTCTGGCTACAGGGAAGATACTTAAGTAATGCAAACAGCAGTTCAAACAGAAAGAGTTAGGATTTGCTCTGTGCTGACCGAGTCTATAGACAGTCACCGTACTGACACTTGTAAGGAGATCGAAACAACTATAACAGCAACAGTAGGGAATAACATGGAATAACCATGACTTGGGCGCAGACGTCGGCTCCAGGTGTCGCATAAACGTTGCGGGTGAGGGTTACGGTGAAGGCTTGATTCAGGGTCTTAGAAACGAACTCCCTCCAACATCGCAAGCCACAGCAAGCACGGCAGGTCCCTACAAGACAACGATAGGCCGAGGAAGCCGCCTCGTCCTGCACATTGAAGTTTAGAGGTTTTGTCATGATTTTTGGGCCTTAGTACACTTAGGCAACCTGGGATCAAGGGCGGTCGATAATGCCTGGCCAGCTGAGGCTATGACGTAGAAACCGTTTCTACGTGCTGTAGGGTCCGGCATCGTCTATGGTCGGTAGTTACACGCGGTACCCCGGGAGCACGTGACCAAAACTGCCGCTCATGCAGGGCATCAGGCTCTGGAACTAACTGACCCTAACCCTCCAGGTACCTACTATATAGGGCCTTAGGGGCTCTAGTACCCTATATACAATAGGTACCTGGGGGGGGTTAGGGTGAATTATAGTCTCTATAACTGCTGTTCATGAGCGCCTTCTTTAGTTTCCCTAGGTACGGATACGTGCGTACCTGCATGCGTACGTGCATAGATGCGAACACAAAAATTCACCCTGCATACTTGCATACACCTGGGTACATATACACACATACATACCTATATACATAAGACCAGACCAGACCAGACCAGACCAGACCAGACCAGACCAGACCAGACCAGACCAGACCAGACCAGACCAGACCGACCGACAAACAGACAGACGGACAAACAGATATATATATATATATATAGATAGATAGATAGATAGATAGATAGATAAATAGATAGATAGATAGACAGATGTGTGTGTGTGTGTGTCTGCGCGTGCGAACCTACTCAATTGTGTGCATGTATATGTAACCATGAATATACATGTATGTGTATATATATATATATGCATACATGCACACACACACACACATACGTCTACACATGCATTTGCAGTACGCATGTCTTGCTTCGTTTTTTGACTCTTGGCCTGTCTGGGGCTCCAACCCCAGGGCTTGTCGAACTTTCACCGGCCAGTGAAAGGAGCTCTTGCCGTTGGCATACCTCAGTGGGGTATTTCACGAGGCGGGTCTCGAACTCAGGGGGCCGTTTTCAGCTGCGTGCTGTTGCAGCGACGCGGCTGAGAGAAGCATAGAGAAGCATCTGCTAGACTCAGACAGTGTTCATGCAAAGAAGGGCCCCAACTTGCCAAGGGTCCGCCCACAGCACAGACACTCTGCTGCGGACACTTTTGCTTCGCTTCTGATGCCTTCTGTCCGATGGAAAACTGATTACGACTCAAGTCGAGACAAGTCGAGGTTTCAGGCAGCTACACGCACAACCACGCGGCCCCTCACCTGACCACTCAAGAGCTTGTCGCCCCAAGCAGGCAGCTCTTCCAGTGGGATCGTGGCTTCATGCATGCGGCGCAAAGCTTGAACAGGCAGGTCCGTCGCCAAACGGCGCCAAATCTCCAAGCGCCGATCTCTGTTGCGTTGCCATTCTGCTGGGTCCTCGTGCCCCCGAGGGGTCCAGCAGTGCCGGGCATGGTCCAGAGTGCATGGAACGGACAAGCACCAGGACTGAAATCGATTCCGCAACATGCAAAACTACATCCCCAAGTACCCTCAACATCAACACACAATGGCAGTTAATTGCTTCTCGGCTCGTTTTTTCTGGGTATGATTGCGGCTCTGTTCTGCTCCCGTAAAGGCCCCCTTGAAGAAGGAATAGTTGAGTAACCCCCAGTGCTAAGCAGACCCACTACCCTGGCACACGCAACCCAGAACAGTCAAACCTGCCTGTCTTAGTCTAACCTCACATCCGAGTCCTCCCCAAGGCCAGAGACATTCCAAGGCAGCGTTGAGTCCACGCCCAACAGTCGAATCCCACGCAAAACGAAGGGGAAAATTGTAGAGTCCAGGCCACTCCTGAAGCAGCTTCAATCAAAGGGTGTTGGGTTTTAGGGTTTGCGGTTTGAGAGGCGTTAAAGGAGGGACTGTAAGGGCTGAGGGGTGGTTGGCTTTAGGGGTGAGGGTTGACACGATCTCTGAACCTGTCCACCTCTTGTATACCACGTAGCGGCCCAACTTGGTGGTTTTGCAACAATGCAGAGAGAACTCCACCCAAGACAAATGAACAGGTCAGTGCAATGCTAGCTTCTACAGTAGCGGGACCCACCATTACCTGGACCCCAAAAGAATGTAGAATAATAGCCTTTTAGGGGCTGTGGGCCATTATTTTACCTACTTTTGGGGGTTTTTAGGTATGGCCTACAAAGCGACCGGTTGCGACGGAGGCTCCCGCCAGCCACACCGATGCAAGCGGCAGCACCCTGGAACTTGAGCTGTGCCAGGGCGGTTCCTGGGTGAGGCTCCCAATGCTTGAGGGCTTTTGAAGCCGAAGCCATGTTTGAGTGCATTCCCCCCTTAAATTTAGATCACAACACTCCAGAAGCTGGCTTCCGCCTTGGCCCAGAAAACGCCCCAAAGTCACTTCACCTACAAATCCCGAAACCGCCACGACCTTCTCAACGGAGACCCATAAGCTACGAATTTGGCCCATCTTTCTAGTCCACTCTCAAATCCTGTCATGTAATGACAGAAACACACTTCAACGAAGAAGATAGTTTGCTTTCAAGCTTCTTCTCGAATTCGTGCAGCAACTTTCACCTACCTTTGTATACATGACCCTAACCCCCCAGGTACCTACGATATAGGGTACTAAAGCCCCTAGGACCCTATATAGTAGGTACCTCGGGGGTTATAGGGTGAGTGGATGGAAGCAGAGCCGGGAGTCCGAGGGCTGGCCCCCCCGCGCAATCGACCACGGCCGCCCAGCGCTGGTCCTGAAGAGCTTGAGGGGGCCCAGGATATCAATGTCCCTAAACCCTAAACCCTAAACCCTGTGCTTCGGCGAAGGTAGCGCCAGAGGGAGAGAGAGAGAGAGAGAGAGAGAGAGAAAGAGATAGCGAGAGGGAGAGGGAACCGGAGAAGGCAAGAGAACAAAAACAAAAGAGAGCCGGTGTATAGGACGGCCTCGGATTTGCACCGCTTCAAAGTCGGTTTATTATGTTCTTTGACAGCCGATTGACATTCAACGGAGCCGTGGAAGCCTAGCTTTGGCTGGCTTGGGCTGGGTCGCCGCCTTGTCTTGCTGATGCGCACACACACACGCACATGTTTCAGAACTCTCCGGCTGTACCATCCGCATAACCTCGACTAATTACCAGAAGCACTGCCATGCATAAGAACACTCAAGCCCGGGGTTGCAAGTGTCACCAATGCCATGCAGCTGATGCACACGTATACATGTGGATGTCTAGATCCGCAGTGCTAGGGCATCAAGCAGTGTCCCTCGTCATATTATGCCTACCACGCCTCACCCTCCATACCCCAAACCGCCCGAAACCCCAAACCTAAAATCTATAAACCCTGCTCGTCGAAACTCTCGAGTGTAATCCTCGCAAATCCTTATAAATCCCAAAACCAAAACCGTATAAAACCGCAACCCCAAAGCAGGAGCTGGCGCCTGCAACGGTTTTTTAAGCCCAGTGGGCTCCAATCGGCCGATCACCTCCTTGGCACCCAGCCTGACACATATGGGGATTATTCTATTCTATACTTATATTTTTGAAATATATGACCCGCAGATCCGCTAACATACTGTATATGGATGATATACATGTATATTATAGCATTATGTGTTATAGTTACTTGTATGTTTACGGCAGCTTGAGTTTATTTTAGCGGCACAGGACATGCTCTTAACTCCAGCATGGCAAGCGCTGAAGCTGACTCTGGTTTCGGCGCTTGAACAAAATAGCGGTTTAGTCTTGTGAGTGTAACATTCAGGGGTTTGTACAGCCTGACCGAACTGCTTCGGGTTTCAGGTTTTGTGTGCAAGTGCTTCGTAGAGTCAAGCAGGGGAGCCCCTCGAGGTTTCCAAGTCCCAGGAGGCCTTCATATGGGAGTCTCAGAAACGGAGGGGCCCTCATATTATAAGCTTTTGGGATTGGGGATGTTTAAGCTTCCTACAATAATAACTGAGAGCGGCCCTGAGAGACGGGCCTCTGAGTACTCCAGATCAAACCCCCAACACAAGCCGTACGAAACCTCGCACTTTGGAGAGGTTGAGCCGCTGCTCGCAAAGATGAACGTCTCGCCAAGCGGCCCCTTTAGGTAGTCTGCCAATTGGTCGGCTCTGCCAGAAGACGCCACTACCTGGCGGCAACTTTGTCCCTCATTCCTCGGACAAGCCGATCGAAGTCTGTGCCTCTGCGTCGGGTAGCTCTCTTACATTCCAAAGCGACGGTGGCCAAGTGTTTTCAAAGCTCGTGCTGATTGAGCATTCAGGGTGTGGGGTTCGAAAGGCAACATGCACGACGATGACTACAATAGTGACTACAAACCCTGGTCGAATGCTTAAATGCCCGACTTCTCCTTGCTAACTGTACGTAATAAAAACCTGTAACAACAGTGAGAGCAGAAGCCAAAGAAGAGTGAACGAGACAAATGCAGTCAAACAGGGCGCAGAGACCAATCCACTTCACACGGCAGGCACAAGCTGAGCAGGAGAAGCGGTTGTCGGTTCCAAGAACCGTTGGCATGCCCATTGTGGGTAAGTACCCCCAACCCCCCAGGTACCTACTTTATAGGGTACTAGAGCCCCTAGGGCCCTATATAGTAATGGTAGGTACCTGGGGGGTTAGGGTACTGCCAGTGCCGGCCAACTGGGCTGCATGCGGAAAGGATGCGGCCCAGGTACGTGGTGGCCGAGCTGCGCAAGGATCGCCACGGCGGCGCTGCCCGCACCCCCAGCTGCTCCCAACACCTAATGGAGGCGACAAAAGAACAAATTATCGAACACTGAACGGATCTACGGCTCAGTACGGTGCAATGCGTAGCAAGCCACACTTGATCCTTGCGAATGCTAGTGGGGCCTTGAGGAAAAAGCCATGCGCTTTTTGGAGGGCGAAAGAGTTGTAGTTCATGGTATTCAATGGATTTGGTAATTTGACGATCAAGGGACGACATATAATGGCTGAGTTCGGAAACACTGCACCTGCTATGGCCCGATGCCGCCGACAATAGCTGAGCCTGACCTTTTTGAGTGGAGTAGTCTAAGGCCGAAACTGCGCTCTTGCAAATGTCCGATGGTATCCATGCTCATACGGATATAAGTTTCAGTAACCGTGCCACATACATTCAGCCAAAGAGCGAGGACAGAGGAGAGGGAGCAAGAGAGAGAGGGAGACAGACCGACAGAAAGCGAGAGAAACAGAGAGATAGAGAGAGAAAGCGAGAAACAGCACAAACAACGACACAGCATAACATTATAACAATGACACCAAAAGTCATGGAAGTGCACATACTCACATTTGTATGTAGATATCATAGAGGTGGATATACAGACAGCGATATAGATATATGCATAGTTATACATACAGATACAGATACAGTTACAAATACAGATGCAGATCTACATATATATTTGTATAGTTACAGGTACGCACACATAAACACAAGCAAGCAAACAAATAACCAATTACCTAAATTCATATACACACATACGTACATGCATACATACGTACGTACGCACATACACACTGCACATGCATACACAAACACACATACCCACATCCATGCATGCATGCATCATACATACATGCATACATGCATACATCTCGATATGTGTGTATGTATATACACTTACATACACAAGTTTCGTAATTACATAATGTGTTTGTCATTTGAGGTGTCTGCTTGTTGTGCACGACGCAGCTGTCTGCATGCATCCCGGGCACCAGGACCGGTCCTGGAATCTCTCCCAGCCTGCCGGCTTCCTGCAGAAACCGAGGGAGTGCGGATTCGACTGTCAAGGCTTGAACCTAAACCCCAAAGTAAGTAAAATAATGGCCCAAAACCCATAAAGGGCTAATATTCTACCTACTTTTGGGGTCCAGGTAAAGCTACTGGTTCAAGATGCCTCAGGGCTTGGAGTTTAGGGTGAATCGGTGGAGTTCCAAGCCAGTGTTGGCGGGCTCAAGGATTGCAGGTTTTGCGAGTTTCGGTGGCATGGCGGCACTGGGGGTTTGAGGACTCACCCGAATCTACTGGCTCGATCTTTCAGCCTGGTCTCATCCTGACCATCTGACGTCTTGAAGGGTTCTGCCTTGGCCCCATGGGAAAATCAGGTCGACAGCCCACACTGATGTTGGTCGGTCCTCCAGCTCCATGACCATCTGCATTGCTGTAAAGCCAGCTGTACCCACCATCATGCACTCCTTACAGGGTTTTGTCGTTGTAAGATCGGTCGCCGTCCCAGCAGCGCACGCTAACAGGCCCTAACACCTATGCACAAACTGCTAGGCTGCTAGACCCCCTATAAACCCTCTGACCCACCCGGGATCCTTGCCAGTCCCCTCAGCCCTTGCTTGACTCCTCCAGGGTGAACACTTTCGGCTTTGCAACCAGCCATTCAGCCTAGCACAAGGCCAGAACTCCAGGACCCTACGCTGCTGCACGGTCTAACTCTTCTCTTCGTGCTGCTCTTGTGGCTATGCCGTTCTCATGATTTACTGACTTCCGAGAAGCAGCTTAAAGCCCATGGCTAAGCAGCAACCTTTCGAAAAACCGAACAGCGGTATGTGTACAGTGGCATGCCTCGTTGCGAGAGTACTGTCAGCATGCATAAGTTCATAATGACGTTTGAGATGCAGGATTTTAGGCCGCGCTTTAAGGTATCACGACCGCCGCTTCCCGCCTGTACCCGGCAGAAGTCAGCATAACCTCCATCAAAGTGCTGGCCAATCTTGTTCCCTGTCAGCACGACCTGCACACAGCGATTCAACAGGGGTTTGGTCTTCCGGGTATTGAGCTCAGTGTCACCAAAGGAGATCCTATGCAGGAGCTACATCCCAAAAGCTCTCAAAGAACCATCCCTTTTTTGGCATCAGGACTTGTGCAATCGCCTGAAACTGAATGTCCGAGCTCAAAGAACCATCCCTAAACCCAGAACCCTAAGCCCAGATGGCACAGGGATCCGCTTCTGCCTCATCCCCTGGCTTCCAGAGCGACGAGTGGCTCTCAACCACCACCCCGGCTAAGTCGATGCCAGGTACGATCCTCGGAAGAGCACCGCCCCCAAAGATTATACTTTACCTATAGTCTCCATTGTAGTTCCTTGTTGGGGATACCTTATAAACTCGTTAATATATATATATATATATATATGTTTGGTTAAACCCAAACAAAGGAACTACAATGGAGACTACAGGTAGATCCCAAGATGGAACTAAGCCGCTAAGGCCTAGTCTCAAGCTTGGAGGCTGCGGTCCAACGTGCAGCTAGCCGGCTCAGTAGCTGGAGAGGCCTCTGCAAACCTGTACTTTGCGGCTCCCAGCTCCCCTCCTAACCCTCCAGGTACCTACTATATGGTACCATATATAGGGTTTAGGGGTTTAGGGTTTAGGGTTTAGGGTTTAGGGTTCCGGTAGTTTCCCCTAACCCTCCAGGTACCTACTATATAGGGCCCTTGGGGCTCTAGTACCCTACGGGAGTATATAGTAGGTACCTACTATATAGGGCCCTATAGGGGCTCTAGTACCCTATATAGTAGGTACCTGGGGGGTTAGGGCCATGTCGACCAAAATCCTAAATGGAGGGCGCATATTGGCGTGACACACTAAAGGGGCCAAGACACGGGAACTTCCGAACGACGCCATGCTGACCCTGCAGAATCATAGCATCCTGAGAATTGCAACTCACATCCCACCATAATTGAGGGGGGGGGGTATGGTACGCATTCAGTAGAAGCTGCCATTGAAGATAGTGATGCTTTACAGTAGAAGCCAGAAAGTTGGAACATCATCCTAAATCCATGTTCCAGCTTTCTGGGCTTCACAAGAAGCGACCCCTACATAATCAACATCGGCCTCATCGCCTGAGTCCATCGGGATCCGGAGCGGTCGGGCTTCAGTAAACACGTGTCCTTGTAGTTCAGGTCGCTGAAACGGACGTTCACGACGACATTAGCGGCCGGGTCCTGCAAGATCCGGGCTTGCAGGGCTTCAACATCTGATTGGGATATCCCTATAATTCCCCTAAGCCTTGAAACCCTAAACCTTAAACCATGTAAGCCCGAATCCCTAAACCCCTAGCGAAGCCTGTTGAGGTAGCTGGGCGCAGGCTGCGAAGTGGTCGATGGCCCTGCGCTTGAGACTTCCCTTCTCCTTGGTCTGAAAGTTTGAGGAAGTGGGCTGCTTGAAATTACAATCGCTGTCGAGGCCCAAGGGAAGGCCACCTACCAGCATTTCTCTAATCGCACTGGAGTGTTTGCAGTTTAAGTTGACGACGATGATAATGATCGGCTTTCATGTTGTGTTGTGCGGCCAGCTTTAGCCTTCATAACTAGCCGTGAGCGACTGTAGATGTACAGCAACACAGAATCCCCAGCCCTACACAAGCTGGCCAGCATGCGATGCAGATGCAGTTTTAGTGAATTTCGGCGACAGCCGGGACAGGAGACCCCCAGCGAAGGGTTGGCTGCGCAGAAGAAGGCAATGACCGAAATACTAGTAGACCAAACGCCACATATAGTATAGTGCATACTGTTTCGGGGTATCTGCCTGGCAAGGAAAGCTGGCTCAGGGAATCCGAAACAACACATTCACCACCTTCTTTGGATGCCTCTCGGTTCCTGCATGAGCAGTAGGTTTAGATGCAGAACACGACAGATTTCTCAAAGAAGATCCTGCCGACAAGCAGTTCTTGATTTCTGTAGCACTCGGGTTTGCCCTAGGCGCTACGAAGCTTCGGGCTCAGGAGAGCCAGGGGCTTGACCTTGACGTTTGAAATCTCAGAGAAAACCCTAAGTGGACCCTAAGGTTGTTGGGACACCAAAGGCCTCGGCGAAATCCAAGAAACACCCAGACGGGACCTTGTGGCGCCTAGATTTTACCCACGCCGTTGAGGAAACCTTGTGGATGCCTTAGTGCAAATCGCCACACCCTGCTCAACCACCTGCCTCTGCCAAGCTTACTGTCGACAACGTCAACGATTGAAATCAATCCAACGCACCCGACCCTAAACCTCAAGCCCTAAAACGTGCACCTTGGGGATCATGGTTTCGGATACCCCTGGATGAGCCCTGATGCGGCGTTGACCACCCAGCCACGGAAAGTCTCGGCCTTGTCTGCACACCGTGACGTTCACAAAGCTGCCTTTTTCACTTGGAAGTTACATTCTCACTCCGGCTTCTTCGCCGCAACACTGCGCGGTCTTACCTTCTGCTCACCAGCCCCAATCATGGTTCTATATTGAAACCCACGTAAGCGCAGAAGACGTGCCAAACTGAAGACCTTCGTCGTGTTGATATAAAACTTACATACATTTCTGCTTGCCGTTTGCATCCCCGGCCCTCGGCGTCGACCTGTCATTGTGGCTTCTTTGCCTGGTTTTCCTTCCGCGCCGTTAACTTTATGAAGCGAAATACCGACGATGCTTTGCCCAAGCCCTAGATGCTAACTGACATGGCAGGAGCTGCACAGCTGAAAGACTTTAACGACTACTGTACAACTACGAAGAATCTTTTCGCCCTAAGCCCCCAACTCGCAAACGCAAGCTCCCTAAGCCCCAAATCCCAACAGATACCCTTCTAAGCCCAAATGCTCTACAGGCAAAAAAACCACAAAACATATCTTAAGTCTCAGCGGGTCGGCCGGTGCAGCAACGCTTTGGGTGGCCAGATGGCGCAGAAGTCTCGAGAGGCGCAAGGCAGCAGCCATGGCTCAGGCGTGGACACGGAATAGGGTAGGAGTTATAAGGGCTCGGAGAAGCCAGATGGGTTGCACTTTTGAACAGGCCAGGGGACCACGAAAAAGCAACGTTCGCCAAGGATGCTTGGGATTAAGAAGCTTAAAAGGAAATTGTCTGTATGCTTGCAGTTTCGGGTGGGTGCTCGCTTTCAGAGTGGGCTGAGTAGATCGGGAGTTTCATAGCTTCTTTGGAGGCTTCTTCCCATGTGCGTTGACGAAGCCAGAGACTTCAGCTCCGTGCACCGCCGATGAATCAAGTAGCTATCGGGACACGGTAACGTAGGGGCCAAAATTATTACCAATACTATTTTTCGGGCTCCTCATTGTAATTAAAGTATAACATACCCCAAAGCCCTATTCTAATTTAATTATTAAGGCCCCTATATTATACCCCGCTATACCACCCCGCCAGAAGTCCTGTTCTGATTGCCGCCCAAGCTCCAAGGTCCGAAGGCTACAACAAGAGCCCGAGATACGGTTCTGGAGTCTGTTCTGCCTTTGTAAGGCTATGTAACATAAGTAACAATGTATATGTATACATTTATGTATATACTCTGTATGTATGTATATATACATATATGCAAGATTGCCTCTATAAGGTGCTGCTAGGACCACGGCTGGACGAGCAAGTGCAGGCAGTTGAAATCCAGACCTGCCAGTGTCTTCAACTAGGGTGGCTCTTCACCCTTCCACACGGGCACCCAGAAGTTCCCTCTTTAGAACCTCTTCTGATTACCCGCGGCTAGAGTTCAATCAAGACGGGGTGTTGGCGGTGGCACGACGGGATGGTCGCCCAAAAGACCCTCAAGACAGAACGTTCTCTTTCCCGAGCCTCGAAGGAGAGTCTTGCCACTTGGGCGCGCCTGGTTGAAGAGCAACCAACGGAAGAAACAGTTTTGCTTTCATGTGCACTGCTGTGTGCGCAGTTCCCATCTTGACCTTCACCATCGCCACTCTTATCATCTGTCTCGGCAAAGTCATTGTCCACACGCCGCATCACGACCGCCAGCACCAGCATCCGCATCTTCAATATCATCCGGGCTACTGTATCTTTCATCACTCTTACCACTATACACGGTCCCTGTCCCGAACCAGCATGACCATCAGCATCATCTCGTCCCATCATCACCTCATCATCGCGAGTCCTGCTCATGCGCAGCGGCATGTTCGTCAAAGCCACTTTGCAGATCGGAGGGGAAGGGTTGCAAAGCCCAGTTCATGGAGGCCAGGGAGCAGCTCACGTGCAAAACAACGTGCACTTGCCGCACAGCACAGACTTCACCTGCAATCAAACTCTCAAGCCGGAGGCATAGAGCCGGTTTATCCACGGGCCACAGCAGTCCTGGGAGTCACCCATCGAGGACGGCTGAGGAATCTAAGGGCTGGCAAACACAGTCTTGACTTACTCTAACTGAAACCTCGAGTACTTGGCCAAGGGAAAAGTGACGGCAAAAACCGGCGCCTTAATCTCCTCCAGGATCTTGGCGAGCTCTGATTTGTGGGCCTCGTCCTCCAGTTTGTCCACCTGGAAGGCTTCTTAGTTCCGACACCTCCCATGCCAATTGCTATCGCCAGCGATACTCGCAAAGGGTATGTGCACCAGGTAGCGGTAGTGGTACTAGTAGTAATAGTAGTACTACTGGTAACAGTGGTAGCAGCACCAGCAACGCTAGTAGTCGTAGCAGTAGCAATCATACCGGGAATAGTTGCACCATGTGAACAGCAACAAGCCTCGCCCCGCTTCTCCATCTCGAGCAGAGCCGTGCGGCAGAAATCGAGGGCCTGAGGGGAGTTTGTTCTGTTTATGTATGCCGCCATACACCTGTAGGTTTCGGGTTTTTTTCCCACCCGCTTCGCTGACTAGGTCGCACTGCAGGGAACAAAGCTTCGAGAGTCGTTCGAAGTGTTGCAAGTCCTGGGGCAAAACAACCTCTTCGTAGAAGGGACCGAGTAGGCTACGCAAGAAGAGGATGCCTGCGCCGAACTCACCTGTGCTCGCAGCTTTCTGAAGGAGTCCGTACTAGCCCGAACAGACACCGATAACCCAGACGGACCCCAACTCAGAAACCCGCATACTTTGTACAAGATAAAGTCGCCTGGATTGCAAAAGCTCAATCTCGAAACCAAAGACCAAAACAACATGACACTGAAAGAACCCAAACTCAGAGTAGTAGCTGCAATCAGCGATAAGACTTACGGCAGTTCATTGACAGCCGTCATGCTGCTCGCCGACTGACATACATGCGAGGCTGCGCCTACAACTGAAACCATTCCACTCCCCTTCAAAGAGACTACATGCAGTATCAATTAAAATTATCAAACTGTCAACATGCAATTTACCTCCGATTCCGAATTCTCAAATTCCTGAATTACCACTCGGCTCACTGAGTCTACATCCACTGCTCATCGTTCCTTGCATTCCGTCTCCAGCAAAACAACCGTTCGCTATGAACAGAGTGCTGGATCTCGGATCGTGCCAGGAAGGAATCCCGTTCAAACATCCATCTGGGTCTGGAGATCATCTGAGCCCATATGCTGTCCAGTCCAGGTCTTTTTTTTTTATACCAGAACTGCGCCAACTCCAGTGGCGCCAGATTTGTATCACCTCCAACGCCCCACAGAGTTTTGTCAGGGTATCTCAGCATGTATCGCTCAAGGTTCTGAGCACATCAAGCCTGCTGGGCCTTGACGAATCACGCAAGGCTGTAGGCCTCGTCTTGTGTAAGGTCATGTCGAGGCCCGTCTTTTTTGATACCACCATGCAGTTAGCGCCAGGCGCACAGTCATGCAGAAATTCCAAGCAGCCAGACCATATACCATATTGCCGTTTGTCGGCGGTTGCCAGTCTGGGCCACAGCGGGGAGGAAAACTCCGCGTCTGGTTAGACCTGTGCCGAGTAGCAGCGTTGGTGTTGAAGGGCATCAGCACAGGCTTAGACATGCCAACTCAAGCGTCCATCCGAAGATTTCAGGTCAGAGGCAAATATCCAGGCCAACTCAAGCACCAATCCAAACATTTCAGGTCAGAGGCAAAGGTCCATGGAGTCTACGCACGGCAAGGGTCCATGGCGCCTGAGCTACCATAACGAGGAGAGTGGAGGAGACCAGGAGGGAGTAAACAGGACGACAGACCAAGCGATGATCACTCAATTCAGGAATTCCAAATTCACGAATTCAAGTGAATACGATAGCGAAAACTAACGTAAAATAGTGAATTAACGGCATGCAATGCAGGATACGCACGACGCTAGGTTACATGCAAAGGCAAAAAAACGAATTCTTAATTAGACGACTCCAACTTGCAAAATAAGGATCCCAGCCAAAAACCCTGCCCTAAAGCGGGCACGAGAGTTTTGCACTCACGTGCTCGCAGTCTTCCTCATCAGACGAAACCGCAACAACGGTCGGTGTCTCCAGAGGCCTCTTGTTTGTCCTGAGTGGCTCGTCAAGTTGTGCTCTGACGTCAAGTTGCCTCAGAACTCGGTGACCATAAAAGGTCGAGCGATTAAGCAACGTCGCCCCGGGGTGTGCCGAAAGGGGCACAAACCCCAAAGCGGCCAATCTCTCACTGAAATAAGACCCCGCCTGTTCCGAAAGTTGGGGGGTGAAGGCAGTCAGGATCTTGCATTCAGGCCCTGACCACTTCTCAGTCCCATGCAGCAGTGCGCGGGACGAGAAGAGGACTGGTCTGTAACTGATGTCGTGGAACTCCCCTGGGGTGCGATCTGTTGGGAAGCTCCCCTGTGTCCACCCCTGGGTTTTCCCTTCAGGGCACTCAATCCAAAGGCGACCTCCAGAGAAATCAGAAAGTCCAACGATCATGCTAGGGACGAAAGAGTTACGCAAATCCCTGTGACACCCTCTCCCCGGTCCCGTCCTAACTGAAACTGCTGTAAAGGGCACTTCCTCGGGCATGTTCCTTCGAACGAAGGCCGTAAGCGCCTGCGTGAATTCAGGCTCCTTATCAGTCAGGCGCGTAGCTGCGTTCGTGAGCCTGGGAGTTTGACCTACTATCAAGAACAGGTTACGCCCCTCATCAGAATCCCAGAATTTGCGAGGGACGTGGGACGTGAGGGCTGCTATAGCCCTGCACTGGTCTTCCAGGTGAGTTTCACGAAACGAATTCAGGAACTGCAGTGACAGGTCCCTGAGCGAAGCCCTAGCACCATCGACAACAAGATCAGCCATGACTGGGAGCTGCAGAGCCTAAACACTTCAGGTACAACATTAAGGCGGTTTGGGTAGTGGGATGAGGAGGTCAAGGGCAAGGTGCTTGACAGAATGTAAGATACATTTGCGAATGCAGATGCAAGAAGTGCGAGAATGTAAATGCTCAAAATGTCAAAGGGAACGAAGCTACATAGTTCTAGAACTACAAAGGCAGGGGGGTTGGGGCTTTTTTGAGTAGGACTCAAGGCAGCAGAGGCTGTGGCTTCAGGTCGTTGGGCTCGGGGGATGTTCAACTCAAACAAATGTCATAAGCAGCTCAAGACTCCAACACGCCCTAGAATCTAAAGAGGGGTCTTCAAAACCATGTTCAGTTAGCAGCAACTACAGGAAATGTAACTGGGTCGAAATGAGTGCCGGCGGGGCCAGTGTCGCTCAACCCCCGAATCTTTGCATGCAGAAGCTTCCTTGCAGAGAGACTGTCATTATGAATTAAGTTGCAACATAGATTACAGGAATTATACATGCTGGACTTGCAAAAAGGCCGGTTCCGAGAGCAACAACATAAAACCAACCAAAACCTAAGAAACCGAAAGGGCCAGGCGGCTAGTCCATACAGGACGAATTCAAAGTGTGCACAGCAAGCTCAATCCCGCAACTACAGGCAACAGAAAGGATGCAACCCAAAAACAACCACAGAAAAATCAATGCTGCGGGAAAGGACTAGCCCCGAGAGCTTGTACTAGATACGCAAGGGCCTCCTGCGCTCTTGGGTCGCTGGCAAGGGGCCCACCCCATCTCACCGGCAAAATGGCCGGCGGCAGGCTGCTGAAAAGCGAGACATTCTGTCTCGGCAAGGCCTCCCTCAGATTTAGGACAGGTGGCTCAGGCTGTGTTTGTGGAGCCGGCGGCGGTTGATCATGCGTAGACGGTGCCGATGGCGTCGACGCGGCTCCTTCCCGCTGGCCAGACAACGTGCCTGGAAGTGGGGGAGGCGGCGCTTTCTGAGGCATCGGCGGCGTCAGCCGACCAATGATCTTGTCCAGCTGCCCCTGCACTTTCAGAAGTACTTGCTGAACTCGCTCGCTAGCGTCTGCCAGATCACAGAGCTTGCTGTCGTGGCTCTTGTGGGCATTGGTGTGATCCCATACGATATGTGAGATCTGGTCAACATTCTGCTCCACTTTGTCCAATCTGTCCGACTGCGCGAGGGGTGCGATTGCTCCCATGACTTCGCCCTTAAGCGACTGCACGAGTGATTGAGTTTGCTTAAGCGCAGTCAGCACCGACTGGTTGGCAGTGCCATCGTTGACCTTGGCATCCTTCACCAGGTCCCGGGTCTCTTCACACACTGCCAGCGTTGCGGCAGTGCAAGCCTGCAGGTCCTTGGCATGGTCCTGGCTGTTGATGTCGCCTTGAGCCGTGATCTCCACTTGCAGGCCGTTCAGGACTGCGACTGTCGAGTCCAAACGACTCTGCAGCTCACTCACCATCCAGGATTGCTGAGATCCCTGGGCCAGATCATGGATCTGCTGCACCGAATTCTGAATTTGCTTGCATAGTTTGTCTCTCTGCGAGTCAGCATGTGCGTCCAACACCAGCGGCATCTGCTCCCACAAGCGTGCTTCAAGTGTGGACACCGACTGGTCGATGTGTTGTTGCAGCTTGCCCTCCAGTTGCTCCAAACGAGCAGAGACTAAGGACTTAATCTCCGTCTGCAGGGGGTTCAGGATGTCAGTGAACCCATCATTCACCGACGCCATCATTGTCTGGAAGGCACGGACCCTGCTACGGGTCCATCGGCTGTAGGTCCAAGCCATTGCCGCAATCACAACGGCACCGAGCACCGCCCAAAGGGCGGGGGACTTCCATCCGTCCCCCAAGATGAGTCCAGCATCCGCGAGCAGAGGCACGAAGGCGTCCATTGTCAGATGCTGCGAGGTATGGAGTACGTTATTTTGAGCTGGGTAAGCTGCCACAACGACACGAGATCACGACATCGACATTAGCTACAAGAGGGCATCAGGAAGTGAAAAAAGTACACGGACGACGCCCTACTTCTAGCTGCAAAGTCAGGGGGGGTATACCTGGGATGACTTCAACGAAAAGTCCACAGCAGCCAAAGTCGCAAGAGACAGTGCCTGGGACGATCCCACAAGTATCCTCAATGGGCAGGGAAGTCTCCAAATTGCTTCAAGAGGAAAGTCCCGAAAGGGGGGGAGGTCGCCTGGATCTCAGCTACGCTCAAGCGTGCTATCGGCAGCGGGGTCGACTTACAAGGGCACAAGAGCGCCTACTTCAAGAATATCAAGCACGGCAGGGGGCAATCTCACGGGACTCTAACTTTAAAACGTTCGCGAGATCGACAACGCCCGTCAACAACTGAAATCAAAAATCATCCCAGCCCGAACTCGACAAGCAAAACCCATCTACGTGAAGCAAGCTCCCAACACTCTATGAGAAACGGCTGGGGTAGCGCTACCAAAACAAAGCACATGAAGGGTTAGGTTGCGAATCGCACATCACACAATGACTTCCACAACTGTTATAAAGAGTGTGCTGAAAGGGGGTATCGAAAAGAGGCAGTTATGCTCGGCTGTCAAACCCCGCAAAGGC